TTTTCTTGTAGAAATAATAAATTGTCATGCTTATCATTTTTATCTTTAGTTTACTTTATAATTAAACATAAAGCGTACTCTCAAAAATAGAAGATTTTCATTCTCTTCTTTCATAAGATTGCTCATCTAGAAACAACTTATTATTATTAGTTGAGAGATTATTTTGGTACTTAAGACATTTAAAACTTCTTTAACTGATTTTATTGAAGTCCCTCCACCTCCACTTAGAAGAGTGAATTTTCTTCAGTAAATACATGGGAAGATCGTCCAAGGTCTGATCTTTCATAAATTGCATGATGTTTTCTTCGACATTTCTGTTTCCGTCATTTTCTACCGGAAAAATATTGGTCTTTTCTTTTCAACAAAATAAAAAACATTTTCGCTTGTCTGTCTGTATATGTTTTTCTAATCGACCATTCTCGAGTTCTCAGAGAAACTTTATTGTAGTCAAATATCCTTTGTTTCTTTGAAAGCACATTCAAAGCTACAGTGTCTGACATAACTAGTTTTAATAATTAAGGTTTTTTATTATAATAGTAAAACAACATTTATGCAAATAGGTGGTTATTGTTTGATACCTTTTCGAGATATTGAACTTGTCTTTCTTTTTCTCTCCATAAAAGCTAAGAATTTTTAAGAAAAATGACTCCGCTAGGCACTACAGTTCGGCATGTTCTTTCAAATAAAAAACAAATTAAGTCTATACAACGAGAGGCTACAGAGAATTTTGGATTGCCAAATGTGCGGATGTGAGATGGGTGTGACAGCGTGTAGGTGAGATGTCGTTGGAATGTATGTATTTGTGTGGGTACGAGCGTGAGTTTGGATGAGAGTGAGTGTGGATATCACACCCAAAACTTGATTGTAGACAATTCATATACGTAATGAGTGTATTCTCTTCCAGATGTCTTGCAATTATTTTTCAGGTTCTTTATGCTATCAGCATAGGATAATCTATTATAATTTTCTTGGAGACTTAAAATTAGATAAAATGTTTTTTTTAGTCGACATTAGCTAATAAATTCAAATTTGGTAATGATGAGAATATTGCAAAACGAGCACGATATGTAGTCATGCAGCTGTATAGTTTTTTATGACATAATTGTTGTTTGACAATTATTCTGGGATCCAGTCAAAATACTATTGACAAAAATTAATATCGCTGCTAATGCAATACTTAGAATATTTGTTTCATTGTCAATAATTAATTTTCATCTTTAAGAAAGAAAAAAAAATAGGACATCAAATATGAAGAGATTCCATATAACTGTATGGACTCTTATCCGACAAACTATAGTGAAGTAAGCGAAATAATAGCAAGTGTTGAATTATTGGTAAGTTGATTTTCTAGGATGAGCTAGATATAGCACTAATATTAATAGATAGAGAAAGTTTTTCTCTATCGAACTGCGTTTTTGGTTGTTTTTAAAGTGGTATGTAATTATAAAAACGTCATTAACTATGAGATTGTAGTGACATCTTTTAGTGTATTTCGTTTTATTGAATAAAACCTTAAAACTTGCATTGAGGCTAGACAAACAAACATGTGCCTAGTTTATTCACATTACTTCGGCTCAAAAAAATTCTGCATGTTGACTTAGAAAAAAAGTGTCTAGGCATGTAGCGTCCTCCAATATGTATATTTGATATTGATTCGATGGTTCACCGTGCTATGGACATATATATATACTATCTATAAATTTAAAGTAGAAACATATATATTATTCTTGTCGATAATATTCGAATATTACCGAGTTATACTAGTGTCTTTGATCTCTAGACTTCGATAGTACTATTTTAATAAGTAAATAAAAGTTAGTTCAAATTTTTCGTTTGAAAAAAACAAACAGAAAACTAAGAAGCCAACAAATGGTGTTTACAATATACATTATTTATTTATTATACTATTGTGTCTCTATCGAATTGAAAAAAGAAAAAATCATTTTGGATGATTGTAAAATATAGACTTCTCATCTGATTGACTTATAACTTCTATATGAAGTGAGCCTATCGATTTTGGTTCACATACTTCTATGGACCCACTATATTTTACAAAGATGCTGACATGCCTTCATTGCCCGTTCGCAATGACATGAGAATATTTATTTATTGTTTGATCGCATAATCAAGTGTGACTCGCACATATTCAATTTTATCTTTTTTTTTTCTCATTGTCATATTTGACTCTTTGTCGTTGCTGTGCTATTGAAATCGGTTTCACAACTTCGTTTACGATGTCTTTTGTTGCCACCATCTATATTAGGGTTACCCTGTGAGTAGGACTCAAGCCACTTAACTAAATTCTATGACTTATGAACTAAAAAAAAAAACATTTTCTGACATTTTTAGTTCGTGTTATAGGGTAGAGTATGTAGTTAGCTTATCGTCTATACGATCAATTTTTATCAGATGATCATAAGATTTGTATTCGTCGCTTTTCTTTTCTTTAATTCTCATATAACTCACATTAATCAATCATTCAATGTGTAAACAAATATGATTCGAGGTAAGCTAAATTTTTTTGCCTGAAATGATAAGTATTAATGTTAAAACTGCCTAGACCTTTTTTTTTTGATAATTACTATATAAAAATGTCGATATAGTAAAATAGTCACTATAGAAGGTATGAAATAGTTCGACAAAATACTTGCAAACGATAAAAGTTATGTAGTTAAATCGTACTCTACATACTTCGTCGGACTGTGACTATGGTTCTTCATTGATACGTCAAATTTTCCTTAAAAAAAAATGAAATCGAGCTTTTTCTTTTCTCTTAATCAAACAATGTTTTCGCTTATCATTCTGTAATATGATCAATGATGATATAATCATAACCATTCTAAAATTCAAGTGTAATTAATTGAATTAGTTGACCATTATCAGGTTACTCAATAAAGAGAAAAGGTAAGAATGGTGATAGTTAAAAAAATATCTATTGTTATACATATAATGACGTTAAAGCCAAACAGAATCTTTCGGGACGAAAGATTCGATGATGTCTTTGGTACAGGATTCCAGTTGTTGGGAATTGCCGGAATGACCTGGTAATCCGATAGGATCCTATTGAACGACTTTGACCTGGGCTAGTAAATATGTTGAAGAAAGCATCATAACTGAAATAAATCAAAAGATTGTTTATTTATCTATGTTAATTCTGATCGAATTCTCGATCTAAATCTATGCTGTATGATACCGTTTTCTTTTTCTTTTCAGAAAGACAACCCTATAATAATTGTATATTTTAGATTTAGTGTTTTTTATTATATTATATTAATATTAAAAATGTCGATTGAAAAAAATGATGAAAATTTATTTGAACTCGTTTGGCTTGGAAATTCATCGGATAAGATTCTATCGGAAATTAATTTTACAAGTGAATTTACAAATAATAATCAATTAAAAGAATATATTATTGATAAATCAGATTGTTCAATAATTGTTATTCTATCAGAAAGTATGCCAGTCGATATAACATCTCTAATCAAATATTCACAGATTTGTGCTATTTATAATGAAAAACTAATTTGTTTGTATTGTTTACCTCGAATGATATCATCAGTTGACATCTATATGAAGAATAAACAACAAGAAGAAATAAAACAAAAGAAATCAGATCAATTATATTTATCTAATATATTGTTAATAATTCGAAAATATTGGTTTCTTATTGGTTTGCCTATATCAATCTTAATAGCATATAGTTTTCCAAATGTTGGAAAAACAGGTGGTTATATTCGTTCAGAATGGACAGTTAAATATGGTTGTATCATATTAATTTTCTTTATTCAAGGTTTATCTCTTCGAACAAAACAACTTGCCAATGAAGTTCTTCGTATTCGTCTTCATATTTTTATTCAAATCTATAGTTTTATTATTGTTCCATTTTTAGTTTATGCTTTATCATTATTATTAACAAGAACATCTATGAATAAAACATTGATTTTTGGTATTAATATAATGTCTTCAATATCAACGATGATTTCTAGTAATGTTGTTATGACTAAGAATGCCTTAGGAAATGAATATGCTGCATTATTAAATGCAATACTTGGCAATATTTTAGGTATATTTATATCACCAGCTCTTATATTTCTTTTTATGAAAAATTCTATATTTGATTTTTTATCAACAACAAGTAATACACAATATAAATTAGATTATAGTCATGTTGTCAAAAAATTAAGTTTAACTGGTTTAGTTCCTTTATTTATTGGACAAATAATTCAATTATTATGGACAAAAAAAATCATGTATATACAAAAAAAATTTTATTTTGCTGAACTGAATAGTTTAGCTTTATTAACCATTCTATGGTCTGTATTTTCTACTGCTTTTTCCACTGGATCGTTTCAAAGAATACAGAAAATAGATCTTCTCATTTTAATTCTTATTAATTGTGGTATATATATTTTATTTTCATTATTAATTATTATTATAGCCAGATTACCTATTCGACATTGGCAATTTTCTGAAAAAGATACTATTGCAATCATGTTCTGTGGTGTAATGAAAAGTTTATCTATGGGTATTTTATTAATCAATGCTTTATATGATAATACAAATCAATATATTAGTGGTTTACTTTCACTGCCATTAATTATGTATTACGTCGTACAATTATCAATAGGTGCTATTCAGGTTATATTATTGAAAAATTGGATAGAAAAAAAATTAAACAAACCGACACAGATTCTAAAACATAATGCTCATATTCAATCTCAGAATGAAGATGAACTTAAAAGAAATGAATCAAAAAATATAAATGTTAAATATTAGTAGAAGTTTTACTGAACTTCATTATAAGTAGATATTCACTTTTATAATTATTTCTTGTCTATATATTAAAAACTAATTTGCAGAATTTATATGATTTTTTAAAAACAACGATTTTGAAGTGTAAAGGTATCTTTCGCTAACATTTTGAAGTATGAAACATTATAATAATGAATGCAATTACTGTTTCAAAGTATGTTCTTGTATGAACAACTATTTAGGATTAGTCTTAAAGATACAATTTTGATCGTAGATGTTGACAACAATGTTCTATCGAGATGATTTTTTCAACATCGCTTTCTACTTAATATAATGGCATAGAATTATTTTGAGGATGCCTCAAACAGAGCTAAGATAAAATAGAATTGAATAGGAATTTAATTCGACTACAAGAAGGTAGCATATTTGATTTGTGAAAAACAAAAGATGCTAACTTGACAAATAATTGAAATCGGTAATTGTCTACTTTTGTCTTTCCGAAGAATCATATTGTATTATTCAATGAGTTTTGTTTATTGACACAACACATGACGTGACTATGAACGAGAAGAAAATACAGAAAAGATTTTCGATTTTTTCTTCTGTTAATGCGTGTCAAATTGAGTGTAGGTGTAGATGTGAGTATCAATGTGTATGTTGATCTTCTTTTACCCTTACCACCCACGTTCACACCCGAAATGGACCTTTTTTTTTTGAATACATAGAATTTTGTCTCGATAACTTTTTAGGAAACTACTGTTATCGTAACATGAAATTTGGAACATTAGGGTCATTTTTCGAGCTCTTACGGTTGATAACCGTAAAAATAATTGAAAATGTGTATAACATGGCCAAAAACTCTGAATTCTAGCAAAATTCGCCTTCTTCCACTAGATTTGCCTATATATGTTTGATGTTTAACACAAGACCAGTCTTCCGGTGACGTCAAACTTGGATTATGTATCTTACTTTTCAAGTTCTATCGATTTGTAGTCGCGAAAAAATGAAAAAGAGGTATAGCGCGCCGAGAAGTTCAAAGTATACTTAAATTTGACATGTTTCTTCTGAGTTCGGCTATAATGGTGTAGTTTTCAGTATCAAAGTAGGGTTGTTGGAACACCATATTCGAATTAAATGAGTAATTATCTTATCCTCTCTTGATTAGCAGTCTGAGAGACAAAAAGACAACAGGGTACAGCCTGTGTCCAATGTCTGAAGTCTGAAAGATTCTAATCAGTTTTTACTGTATGTATGTTCATCAATGTTTTTGTGATTTTGAATGTGAGGAGAAACATGTTAGGGCTTTGAATTCGCACAGTATTGATTTCCTTATGACGTTCTGTCACCGAAAAGCCTTATCCAAAGAGAAAGAATATAGGATTTTATGAAGAATATCGGAAGATGACATCATCTGGTCGTTCACCTGAAGAAAGCGAAGACCACTTCTTTATTAAGTTGTTTGATTAGTATATTAAATTATGCATCAGTCGCGACAGGTACCATTATTGTTATTTCTTGTTGTCATCGGCATATCTCATATATGAGTACCTTTTTAGAAATTCACTCTGACTGAATCAATCGCTGCAACACCATTAGTATTTTACATATTACTGGGAATTTTCTGTCCGAAATTAGAACTACATTTGCTATCAATGTATTATATATTAAAGAATAATTGTGTCACAACCTTGACACGGAGCAGAAGAGGAAAATGAAAGAAATTCATTGCAATCAGTCAAATATTTTACACATGTGCCTTGGAATGTCCTTGTACTAAAACGAAATATATCTACTTCGAATAGAGCCCTCTTACTAAGGATAACCTGCTTGGTGCTGCTTGGCAGGGCAGAACCAATTTAAAAGGTTTTTCACAGGACAGAGTACAGGTTGCAAAGGGCATAACCTGTTAACCGTGACAGAAATGTTGTCACCAGCATACTTAGTAGATTTCAAAGAGTAGGAGCAGTGATTTTTTAGCTAGATCAAATTATTTACATATATTTCTAGTACGAAGGGTAATGATATTGTATTTCTCATTCGAATAACTCCTGTGAACGTAAAAAACTAGCATCTGCTCGGTATTTTTCTTTTTTTTTTATTCAAAAGCTTTGATTTTCTTAACCTGAGAATTCAATGGAATATCTGTGACTGTTTCCAATATTAATATATTCGTATTGAAAAGGTTCTACATATTGCTTCGATCTATAACTAAGTGTATCATAAAAATATAGTGACAACGGTTAGGTTTTCTTAGTTATCCGCCCGAATCAAGACATTTTCCTTTAATATTTAAAAGCTTGATCCCCGAATCTTATGTGAAAATGATATTGTAACTCGTCTTACTGTCTTTGATCAAAGTGAAGCGACTTTTTCTTACAAAGCCAGAGAGTCTCAGAATATCGAGCTTTATATCTTTTGGTCATTCTTATAGAAACTAGAGAAGTTTCTTAGCACTTCTCTGTTGAGTTATATCAGTAAGAAAACAGTTAGAGCCATTTTTCAAGTCTAATGACCCTTCTGAGTTCAGTGGCTTTATTGACGAGATTCATCTTTGAATTATGATAAAAATGCAATATTCACTACACAACATCTTATATGATAGTTAGAAAAATATCCTGTTAGTTCTTAAAAATACTGGCTTCTTTGGGCTGAAAAATAATGTCAAATGTAGTGTACACTTATTTAAATATTTGAAAAAATAAGTTCTGTGATCGATAGCATATATGTGTGTAATGATCAAAGCAGCAATAAATCTATACGCAATAAAATAGTATATTAATCGGCATTACATCGAAAATCGCTATCAATTATAGTCTAAATAGATAACTGAAATTATAAATTAATCTACTTCAAACTAGATCTGCATCGAAAATTTGTATAACATTTCATTTACTTCCCGTTAACCTTTGTCGATAGCAATAGTAGGACAACTCAACTTTTCAAAAAAAAAACTGTGCTTTAAATGTGCGATAAAAATTCCTTCAGGACAAGAAACTCTAACTTTAAATATCTATATAAAAACATTGATAGTCAAGTGTTTTTGATTGTGGTGGAAACATTGTAGATTTATTTTAATTCAAACTGTCTTTCTCTCGCTGAGATAAGAGGCAAAACCGAACAACGAAGCTAATTTAATTCAATTGAAAGAAAACTACTACGTTATTTTCACACTTGTCTTCAACATTAGCGATCTAATCTTTTTTTCTTCTCCTTTGTATCATAATCAGACAACCGATCGAAATGAATTTTCATAATCTCGGAATTTATTCACTAGGTAACATGCTCTTTCTATTCCAAATCCATTATACAACAGTTCAATTTATATTTTTCTTCTTGCATAAGTACTCTATAAAGAGAATTTGCCATTCAGTTATATTAGAGTTTATATCAAATATGGCAATATTTGTCGATCTCATTTATCTACCCACGGCATCACCAGTCGATAGAGTCATAAAAAGTCCTCTAAAAGGACCAGCGCTTTCTTTCAGAAAACTCAATCGCAAAAATACCCACAAATATTCTGAAAAAGTACTAAATGTTCCAGTACTTTGAATTTTCTCTTCTCGTGTTCGTCTTTTTTTTATCTTTTTGCGACTACAAACCCATGTAACCATTTTTAGATTTTAAAAGCATCTCTGAACGTCTATAACTTCTGCAACTTGACGCGTTTGGATGGAGTTATGAGATGAATGCATTTTGACTCATTTACTTATCTCCGAAAAAAAAGAATTAAAAATAACCATCACTCTGTGTTGGAATCGAACCGGCCCACCGAAGCGAGTTATGATATAACGCTCAAATCCTGTGAACAAAAGAGTGGTACTTTTCCATTGACAGCTTGAACTAAGATTTGAACACACGACCAGTCGATTACAAAACGAACACAGCTCGAATTTGTTTCTATGTTCATTAATCACATCATTCGCTCATATAACATTACTTGTTACAACTTTGCGAATAGAGCTGTTTATTTCGTTTATTTTTACTCTGTGAAATAAATATAAGTAATATATTTATCGAGGAAACAATCAAGATAAACATATTATTGATATTAATTAAAAAATGAAAATAAAGAAATAAAAAGTTTTAATATTTAAAAAAAATAAAAATTACCAAAAATGTTTTGAGATATCTGGAAAAAATAAAATACTAGGTTTTCATTTAAAAAGACTCCTTTTTTTTATTTAACTTTCTTCATTTTTCAACTAATAAAATTTTTTATTGTATTTATCTTTATTGCGTCAATGTAGAAGTTTTATTTTCATGCATTCTTTGTTATAAATAACAATAAAGATAAACTAACCAGTCTGTTTGAAAAAGTGCTTGTAAAATTCAGATAAAATGAAATAGTTGAAAACAAAAGCAACATATTGATAGAATTTATTCGTTTGCCTAGATAAGAGATGATGACATTTATAACGAAAGATTTAAGATCATAAACTACCGCGTGTGCATTCTAAAACTTTTTAGAAGTAATGTAAAACGAGGCATATAGTTTTGTTAACATTTTAATATTTTCAACAAGAAATGTGTAAGTAACAGTCAATTATAATAGAATTAATCATTTAATATAATGAATCTATTAAATCAAACTCAACTTAGTTAAATCGTAATGATAGAGATGCAATCTCAATGCTAGAATCCGGTTCGATTTCAAGAACATACTGATGATTATTTTTTGACTTCTTTGAGAATAAAGAAAATTCGTTCATCACATAATAGTACCGTAAGGTAGAAAAGTCAGAAAGCGCATATAAGCCTGTTTTCAGCATGGACGAGTATACATGCGTTTTGGTTTTTGAGCGAGTTCACATACCTGGAAGTGTTGCATTTTAGACGCGTTCAAACGCGTCTATTGATATAAACCAGTTGTGATGCTGCTAGAATTGGAACGACAGAAGATGCTTTTATTCACTCCAAATGCGTCCAGATTCCCGAAAATATTGCATTTTGCATGCTTTCAAATGAGTCAAGTTGCATGCCATATAGATGCTCAGAAACGCTTTAGAAGTTAAAGCATGAAT